TGGGGTTAAAATCCTCGTTACTGTTTAGTTGCCTGTGAAAGGCTAGACTGAATGTCTCTGTCATTTCAAGACTAGTAAGAGATTTCCCATCAGAACCCACTAGATTGCAAGCACCCTGGTTGGTCGGTTTTCTTTCAGAAACAAACCTGCATAGGCTTTTGGGGTTCACGAGAAGCTTATTGGCGAGGTTTCTCTGAAATGTCCTTCTATCAGTCCGGACTCGTATGTTACATCGACTCCTGAGTTCAGGGTACACTTCATGTTCGGGTTGACTCTTCAGTACTCGCTACGCAAACTAGGCTTTTCGCTTCACCTGTGGAAGGCGTTGTGTCCCCCTTTTTAGCCATGAACGTTGCTTTCTAGCTTTTGGTGCGACTAAAGGAACAGTGTCTGAGACCGCCTGGTGAATGATCTCCATTACCACACCCCAGTGTTCTTCTGCCGTAAGCTCTGTCCAATTTTTTGGCGAATTTGCTTCAGACAAAAGTCTTCGCATTTCGGTGTAATTGGCTTTGTTATAACACAGATAGGGTTGTGTATTGTCCCATTGTAAATGCTCGCGGAGGACTATGTCGAATGTTATGACCGCGTGGTCACTACTACATATGGAAGTCGTGATCTGAACGTTTTCCACTAGTAGGCGGTCACGAGTGAGCGCATAATCCAGTCTAGAAGACTTCCCATTTGGGCCCCATCTAGTGTCCATTCTGACATTTTCAGTGAATCCAGCCTCCCTGATGGTATGCAGCAGATTTCGATCAAATCTATCATGGGCATATCCCGTCATCAAGTTAAGAGATGGGGCATTGAAGTTGCCAGCTATGACAATTTGATCATAACCCATGTCTTGTGTCGCTGAAATTGTGGTCTGCTCCACATGAAGGTGATCGATAAATGCTCCCCATTAGATATTTACAGTACCCAAAAGTGAAGTGGCACCATATTGAGTCAGGGAGCTCAATGAGGGGAGGGTCCATTGCGTGAACACATCTGAGCTGTTTGTCGACGTATATGGCGACTCCACCTTCTTCTTTCAGATCCCTATCTCGCCTGACTAGGACCATATATTTATACTGACTTCGCTGTCTGCCACCGTAGGGGTTAGCCAGGTTTCCGTCAGTATTATGATTTTGGAGTTCAGCTGTGATTGTAAGTATCTAAGTTCAGCTGTTTCTCCTTTTCTTCTGATTCAATCGGAGCACTGGCTATCATCGTCCGTGCTGCACCGCTGTATTGTGACTAAGGGTTGGGGATTTTCTTTGACAACGCTTTGTTCTCTTTTTTGGATGCGAGGCCGGCTCTCGCAGCAGCGAATGTGTCTGCTGACCTTGTCCTTGGTCTCGTACTATCTCTGGAGAGCAGTGGTCAAGTGGTCTCGGTAGCTGAACTTGACAGCTAACAGACAGGGCGTGTTAATTGACATAAGGTGAGTGGGTCGAGGCAGTCTATAAATAGAGAGAGCCAATGAACTTCCCAGAGCCATCTGGGATGCCAACCACCTCCATTGCTGTACATCGTGACAGCGCTTCTCGCAAGCGTTCCCAGTTACCAGTTCGGGAATGCCGTGAACTACCATGGAGGCAGAAGGAATAAGCTCTGGCGACTCCCTCGCCATCTGTCTTTCCTTCCATGGTCTGTCTGGCCTAACACGTATATTGCAGGTCCTCTCAATATAAAGGACTTGAGAAGTCAGTAAAACTTTTTCGACATCCTCGGTAGGGCCCAGTGTTACCCTCAGTGGGGATGGTTTACCTTGAGCAGCAGCAGTGCCCCTATACAATCTGCATAGTTTTACTTGTTGGATGTCCGGACCCAGTGTGCTACACAAGTTGGACCACTGTTCCTGATCAAACAGGGCTCTTTTCCAGCAGACTGCTACTACAGTCTGGTACATTAAAGAGGATTACGCAGTTTGATCTACTAACCGTGGACTTAGGTTCGGTCCTCGCACATTTGTCATCCCCTTTAAGACCGTTTTGTTTCGTCTGGTGCGACTGGATATTATTTTGCGCCTCTGTGCCGTGGCCACTATTACTGGCAGACGATAAGGGTCCTTTTCCAGCGACAGATACCCTTGGTGCTTCAACCTCTGTGTCTGGGGCAGTTATGGCAGGAATTGCAAGTATAACCGGTGTGGATTTTGGTATCCCCGATTTACATGTAATTGTGCTGTTTTCCGAGTTGGTGGGAGTAGAACGTTTCACGTTTTTCTCTGATACGTCTCCGCCATCTTTAGCTTTCAAAGAACTACACGAGGCTGCATCAGGACGGCAACTTGGGCATATGTACCAGAACTATGGGCATGGGTTCTTACGCATAAAATCGTAATATACTTTTGGTACCCTGGTGTCGCATCTACAATGTACCCATTGCTTGCAAAAGTTGCATTCGAAAGCAAAGTCTACTTGTTTGATAACAGAATCGCAGACCTTGCAACCGTCTGCCTTTTTGGGGAACGTTTTTGTCGTCTTCCGACGTCGTGAACGTTTCTTTTTGGCCTTCCTGTTTATTTCATGTCCTACTATGGAGATGGGTGTTATACAATTCTCACTTAGTGCAGCTTTACCACTCGGCTCTGTTAACCTAGTCGTGTTAACAGGGATGGAGCCACATCCACTTGGTTGACTTTGCACAGTATCACTATAGGACTGTGGCGACATGGGCAATCTGTCCACGCAGGGAATATTTACCCTGGTCTTCAAGACCGGTATGCGAGAGTCCATCACTTTCACCTGTTTGCCTTATGTGGCTGAAGCCCTGGTGACTATGGTATATAGTGTCCCATTACTTATCTTGGGGTGAGAATCTATCGTCATATTACTCCTGAATTAATACTGACGATTAAATAATAAGAGACAGTGGAGTTGTTTTGTCCAATAGACTGACAGCAAAAGACAGTAGAAAGCACAGAACAGAAAGATAAAGTATATAAGTAAAAGCTTTTGACTTTACCTGTAACTTTCGGGTTATTCGGCTTCACAACAATCACGTAACAGACCAACAAGTCCTGTATATTTGAAAGAGTGAGGGGGATGTTGCTACAGAAGTAGCACCTGAAGCTTGGGCAGTAGTTCGAGACAGTGGGAAGTACCACACACAGGCTCGGTGAAGAAGAAATGGTGGAATAAAATTCGCCGGATAGGAAGATCAGTTTTCCCAAACGGATTATTCACAAAAGTGGATATTTCCTGTTAGAAAGGAAAATGCACGTCGCATTCGAAGTGCACCGTTTGATTGAAAGCAATGTCAGACTACTTCCGTTGACGTCGACCAAGACGTCGTGTTCCACTGCCTGGTTAAGTTAGGTGCAAGGAAATCTATGGGTCCTGATAATCTTCATCCATGCTTCTCAAATATCTATCAGCTCATATAGCCGGCCCATTGACCACTATCTTCAAGCCATCTCTCATAAATGGAGTGTTACCGCGTGACTAGAACGACGCCATTGTGACCCCCATCCACAAAGGAGGAACAAGACAAAGCTCTTCAATCCACAGGCCTATTAGTTTCATCAGCAATTCAATCAAGGCACTGGAAAGAATCATCAAGGAAAGCGTCATGGCATATCTGGAAAACAACAATTTGTTATCCAGAGCACAGCATGGCTTCCGAGGAAACCCCTCTTGCCCGTCAAATCTTCTCACTGCAAGAGAAACCTGGGTCAAATCGGTAAACAACAAAGGAATCGTTGACGTCGTCTTCACAAACTTCAGCAAAGCCTTCGACAAAGTCCCTTACAAAAGGCTACTCATGAAGTTGGGAAGTCTTGGTATCAAAGGCAGCTTACTAAACTGGACTAGGAAATTACCCACATATAAGAGACAGAGGGTTAGGATCAACTCGAAACTCTCCTCCTGGACAGAAGTGCACAGCGGAGTGTCACGAGGCGCGGTACTCGGACCTCTCCTATTTGTTTTGTATATCGATGAGTTATCTGTGCTCACGGGTTACCTAATGGTCCTATACACAGATGACTTAAAATGTGGAGGGAGCTGAAGGGCGACAGAGATATTCTCGCCTTGCAGGGGGACCTCAGCAAATTATTATATTGTTCTGGAGAAAAGATGCTCCTGATCGATGTAGCGAAATGTGCAGCCATGCGCATCGGACGTGCAAACATCAGCACCTACGAACTGGAGGGAATAAGGCTGCTATCAGTTCAAACTCATTTGCATTTATGTGTCATGGTAATTCACGACTTAAAAACTACATTACATTGTCATGCGGTGGGGGCACATGGTTTCACATCCTTATGGGCAGTACGCAGAGCCTTTACTAGAATCACCAGAGATATATTCATTTCTATACATATTCCTCTGGTTAGGTCAAGACTGGTAGCCAGTCCAGGTAGCCAGATAGCCAGTCCTTGTCTTAAAGGGGATTCAAGTGTTCTAGTAAGGGTCCAAAGGAAGGCAACACGTATGATTCTCGGCATGACTAATTTATCATACGAGGAAAGACTAGACAGTTTTCAAAACCATTCTCCCCATCACACCGTAGGTAGAGAGGAGATTTAATTACAATGTTTAAAATTTTAAGTAATGCTTACTAACCTAACCTATCCTCTCTTTTCCTTCTCACGAGGTGAGAACGCCTAAGGGGACACAGCAGACGAGTTCGAAAGCCAAGAAGAAATCATACTACTGTCGAGTACTGGTTCTCACACCGAGTCAAAAACTCTTGTAACCGACTCCCAGAATAAGTGGTGTCCACAACCTCAAATGATTCATTCAAGAAGTTTGGAAAACCACATAAATTTACTGGAAAGGAATCAACATAGGCCCCAAGCCTTCTATCCTTGACCAATAAATCTCAAATCTTAAATCGTCTACGTCTGGAAGTTCGTTCCCCACAGCGAAATGTGAAACAAAGGAATTCTCTGCGGAAGCACGTTATGTCTACACTTTATGAATCCTTCAAGGCAAGGTTCGGCCCTCAGGGTACTGCAAACTAAGAGGATTAATGCAGGTTCAAGTCTGCTATCCTTAACAATCTGCAAGCTGGTCAGTGGACGCGCTGTTTACAAAGCCTGCGTTACTGCTTTTGTTTCCCCCTTAGGTATGTAAAGTGTGCATGGTACTATCGTCTACGAGCAGTTAGTACAAATTCTTTAACCTTCATTTGTCTCTATAAATAGATAGCGTTTTATTCACACTCTTGAATACGTTATGCTTTAGGGAGGAAGATGTATGGATATAAAATATCGCTACTAAACCTGGTTTTACTGATTTGTTTGGTTTTAGAAGAACTTTTTTTTTTTAAGACGACAGCACTTTATGTGATCCTTATTTTTAACACTAACACAGGGACATAAGTCATTGCCATCTTGTTGATTTTGCATCACACCCTTAGTTGATTAACCTAGAAAACATGAGGCGTGCTAGTTGCGTGTGCCTTTTTGACAGAAAGAAGTAGGGATTATTATATCTTTAGACTCCTCAAATCATCGCTAAATGCTGGTATTGGTCACCTAGACTAGTCGACTAGTGTAGACTATGAAGTGACTTAAAAATCATTTAAGTCTTGAGAATTATTTCCCAATGAATTTCTTTTCTGCTTTCGTAGACGTGTCTCATCTTCACAGATTTCTAGTTTATGGACAGGGTATAATGTGGTCGAATCCGTTCACTGCAAGGCTAAAATAATGTCAGCTCTTTATTGTAGCGTAGAATTGTTTCTATCTGAATGGAAGGTTGATGGATCCATGGTGTGTATTTTTCTCTCTACTTGTTCAGTTTACTCGTGATAAAGGTATTTCCGGGTTTGTGTTTGCATGAGAGCATACTTGTCTTTTCTGCTAATGTCAGTTTTGTATCTTCATGCCCTTATGTTATTCTCCAGTTTGGTATTCGATTGTTGGAGGCAATCGGCAGGAAGCCTTGGACCTAGGTTTTGTGATAGAATTCAGTCTGCACCGAAGATAGGAGTAGACACGTTACACTAGTTACTGACTAGTGTGCAATCAAAAATATTCTCCAGTTTGCTTACTTGGAGGGCCATACCCTTGTTTCTATCTAGGATATGTGTTACTGCTTACCGTTACGATTTCCTGATCTATCTTTCCAGTCAGTCTAAGGAGTTACCCACACGTTTCCTCGTGTGGAAACTGGACACTAATGTAGACAAACCTAGTGACTGAACTCACTGAATAGTGATTCATGGAAGTCGTTAAAAGGGAGTTTATTGAATAGGCGGTCGAGAAGCTTTTGCTAGTCGCATGATTCAGTTGTGTAAAAATTTTAAGGATAAAAGTAACGATGGCCAAATTGCGGATAACTGCGACTACTCCCATCGAGCTAAACACCAAGGTGTTCGGACTCATTCTCTCATTGAAATCTGCTTCTTGTTCAGATGATTGTTGTGCAGAGACTACTGGTTTCTCTCCTTATTTCTCCTACGAATGTTTGAGACTGTGCATCTGTATTTTCACTGGTTGACAGTCTTGTTCTGTTTTGCTATGGATTCTTTGGTTGTGGTAAGAAATGATCTATGGGAAGTCGTTTCATCAAATTTGTGAATGTATTTTCTCACCCTTCTTTGATTCTTGGTAATCTGCCTAGTAAATTCTGACGTTGTCTTTGAATAACAACAATGTCATATAATGAGTCTAGTGGTGAGCGGTGAAACTTGTTGTTTTCGTGGAGAATAATTGGGTGTATTAGTATTCAAACTTTGGCGATACAACTTGCCGTACTTTTTTGAATAAATTTCGCTTGTCATCACTTGCATTGTGAATCCCCATGGTACTGCCAATTTCAGTATATTCGTATGTGACAGAGTTTTGAAGAGAGAAAGAGAGATTAATTGTGGTGTATGTTTAGACGTGGAGTTCAGTTTAATTTCAATTCATGTTTGTCTTCTTACATTTAATAATTCTTACTGGAGTATACGTATATGTTTTTGATAGTGGTTAGGCGTCATTCTGGCCGAATTTTTTTGACAAGCTTTTTGTCCATTTTGTGTATCATTTTTTCAGTATTTGAAAGCTGTTTCTTGATCAAATTTAATGTTCGTTGTAACAAGGAATTAAGCAGAAAATGTGATATTTCGGAGTATGACTTACTTCATGTGTAATGTTTGTAATGTAATGTAATGGTTGCAGGCTTAATAGTGTCAGTCGAACGACTGCATAAAATTAAATGTTTTCTTTTTCACCTTTCTGCTCTAAATCCATTAGGCTATAATATTTTGTGATAATATGGTTTGTTTACATCGTGGTTTTGCTGTCGTATTCCCGGCAACTACTTCACAGAGGAGATTCGTTCGGGTCGTTTAGATGAAGACCAGGCATCGATTTAGTTGCGTTAACATTGTTTACATGGTTACAGAACGCATTTCTTTATCTGAAGAAGGCATTCAATTTCGTTGATCGAGGGTTTCCACGGTAATGTTTCGGTACGGAGTACTGAGTAATTACGTTTCACTGACCAGTGCACTAAACGTACTCAATCAGCAGTGTAAATGCTAATGAAGCGTTGCCACCTGAAGTGATGACACCCAGAGGTGTTCGCCTGGGATGTGTCCATTTTTGTTTAATTTCGTCATAGATGTACTAATGGAGTTGACGCTAATCGATTCTGTTGACTAAGCGATTGACTTGTTATGAGGGAATATTCTTGTTAACCTAGAGCATATGGATGATATTGTCCTTCTAGTTGAAGATGCTGACAATTTGCAAAGTCTTCTGAACACCCTGAGCACAAATCTTTGGATGTTTGGCATGCGATTCACTGCTGTCCATTGTGAGATGATGCTACAAGACTCGAGTACACCGACTCCTTCTCTGAGGAAAGAAAATGAAATGGTTAGACACGTTTGATCAATTTACTTATTTGGGAAGTTGCTGACGAAATCTCAGCACGTATACCAGAAGTTCATGTGGCATTTTCCAACTTACGTCATCTCTGGTGTCAATTTGATATCCGGCTATCGATCAAATGACGTGTGCGCTGCTCAGCAGTTCACTGTATCCTCCTTTGTTACTATGAGAAATGGTCATTGGAAGTGGAAGATATGATATGACTAGCTGTCTTTGTCCACAGATATTTGCGTTCTATCTCGCGTATTAAGTGGTACAGTATGGTGAGTAATATTGCGACTAGGTGTAGTATTAGGTAAGGAGGCCAAGTTAATCTATGAGGTTGCAAAGTTACATCGATTCAGTTGGCTAAGACATGTGTTACGCATGGCAAAGCATCGTCTTCTCTCGACGAGAAATCTTAACCGACATTGGATTATGTTGGATAGAGATGGTCAAACCAAAACCTCTGATCAGTCCGTGAAGTATTTCACAGTTGGTTTGAACCGTGTACTGAGGTGTAGACTTCCTGGTTGGGGTCCTCGTGGTGCTAAGAATTAATAGCTGGAGACTGTTGGTGATATGGCTCGAAATCGTTCTTAATGGTGCAGATTCATTCACTCTCTGTGATCCCGCATCTCCACTGAACTGTCATGTTTTTCCGCGTTCCTATCCTTTTGCATCCCATTTGTGCTTATCACGGAATATACACATTTGATTATAAGGAATGAAAAGACAGTTGAAGCGAAGAAAATTTTCTTTTCGACGAAATCATCAACTAGGTTGTACATTTGTGTATTTATATTAAATGAGTAGGAAAGTTCCAGAATAATTTCTAGTCAAGGGTCAGATTAGTAAAATTACAATTACGAATTAAAATGCCATAATAAACAGGGGGACGGATAAAGCTCAGACAAAGTAGCATCATAATTACTGAGAAGATTGACATTGATTGTGCAATTAGGGGTTAGAAATGTAGAAATAACAAAATAAATAGACAGGATTTTTGAATAGAAAATCTAGAGGGATCATAACTAATGTGACGAATAAATGTTTATGAAATCAGGGATTAAATATGTAGAAATAATAAAATGACAAAATAGACAGGAAGTTCGGATGTGAAAATATGGTAGTGTAAATAGGGATTACGAAAACTTAAAATAACATGAATAAACAGGAAGTTTGGATAACAAAGTTAGTGGGATAGTCACTATTAAAGGAATTACCTGTTTATGATGGCCACGGCAGGGACAAGGGTTGAACGTATTTCTTTTGGATACATAGCTTGGGTTTGAGCTTTTGGATGGCTAGTGCCTCGGCTATGCCCAGATGTCCCGATTTTATTCCCTTTTTGCTTATAATAATAGTAATAATTTTTTAAAATCTATCCTCTTATTTACATTTGTGTGCTGCATGGAGCATAGCTACTTCAACTGCTGCACTTCTGAGCCAAGTTCTATGTTGAAATTCCTTCAATCAGGTTGTAAAGTAGATAAGTGGAAAAGATTATAGATTTTCTATCAAATTGATTCCATGAAATCCGATTCATTATCTGCATTGTAGTTCTGGTTTTATTCATAGGTAGTTTTCTTCACCGATTCGATAACTTCACTTTACAGCTTGTGCTTATATATTGATTTATGTTTCCATATTAGTGTGCTTATTAGATATATCACACAGTCAGTGAAACAGTATTATTCACTGGATGACACAGTTTCGAGCACAATTTATACATTGTTCATAATCATTTCATCAGTTGTAATTACACGACTTCAAAAATTGAGTTTTATAGTTTTCTTTATTCTCTCCTATTCATCGCCGTGGGAGTAGTAAAATTTTCTAGATATCTGGGAGAACAGGTGTTGAATCATTCCTATTACACGTATTCCCTGTCAATTGATTCGATAAACAAAGCTTCTGTTATCAATCTCTCCCTCCACCCTGTTATATTTGATTGGATTTTAAAACTGTCATCTTATCCCATCCTATTTTATGGTTGTGTGTAATTGGATGTAGTGAGTGCTATAGCTGAACTATTCTCGAGAATTCTTATCTTATTCGGGTTAACTAATCTACATTTTGCTAGGTTTTAATGCTCGGCTAGTCTGACTACCCCTGTCCTACTAGTTTGACCTATGTATATGACTTGACAATCATTGCAGGGTATTAGATAAACTAAATTGTTTTGTTTTAAAGGCTCCACAGGATCCACCATTTAACCAACAAAGCTTGTTTCCAATCGAGTTTGTGGTTGGTTTGA